CCATTGTCTGCCAACCCTATACATAGTCTTGAGTACACTCCCTGCTGCATAGACATACCTAAGAGTTCAGCCTGTCCACCCATCTATCCACCCATATACCCATGTTTGCCTTCACTGACAGTGTGGTACTGTATGTGCAAAAAGTTTCATCTTTGTTATCTGTATCTCTCATGTACCTCTCTATGTCTTCCTCTTCCTCAGTGTCACCATGTTGATCACTCCCATTTGGTACATTGCCCTTCTTTTCCCAAATCAGTACTTATCTCTACTTATCTAACAGTGTCCCCTACCCTACCCTCCCACCCCTGGTAACCAACAAAGAAAATTTCCTTCCATATATAAACCTTTCCTTGACTTTCACAATAACAGACTAATACAATATTTGTCCTTCTGTGATTGACTTATTTCACTCAGCATGATGTCCTCCAAGTTCATCTACGTTATGCGGGGTTTTGCTGATTCTGCATTATTCTGTAGGGTTGCATAGTATTCCATTGTGTGAATGTACCAAAGTATGGTTATCCATTCCTCAGTTGATGGACACCTAGGTTGTTTCCAACTTTTTGCTATTGTAAATAGTGCTGCAATGAACGTGAGTATGCACATATCTGTTCTTGTCATGGCTCTCACTTCTTTAGGATATATACCTAGTAATGAAATGGCTGGGTCAAATGGTATTTCTATTTCCAACTTTTTGTTTTTCCTGTGCTGCTTTCAGGATTCTGTATTTGTCTTTGGTCTTGATAAGTTTGATGATGATACGTCTTGGTGATTTTCTTTTGGAGTCTATCCTGTGTTGGGTTCATTGGACTTCCTGAATGGATGTATTCTCATCTTTCATGATATCTGGGAAGTTCTTCTCCAACTAATCTTGGACAATTTTGTCAGTGGTTTTATTTTTCTCTTCCTGTTCTGGAATTCCAATGACACGTAGTTTATTCCTTTTGATGGTATCCCTCATGGTCCTTAGGCTTCCTTCATTTTGTTTTGATCTTTTTTCTGATTGATCCCTTTCCAAAGAAGTATTCAGGTATTTGTCTTCAATCTCATTAATTTTGTCTTCCATTGCATCAGCTCTACTCTTTTGTCCTTTCAATGTGTTATCTATTTCTGACAATTTAGTATTAATCTTCTGGGTTTCTATCTGTAGATTTCGAATCATTTCTAATTTTTCATTTATTTTGTCATTTTGTTCTTGTAATTTCTTCCAAAATTCTTTTAGGGATTTGTCTGTGTTTTCCTTGATCTGTCTCTCAATCCTTTGAAGTTACCTTAATATAATTCTTTTGAATTCCTTATCAGGGAGTTCCAATGCTGCTTCTTCCTCGGGATGTGTTCTGGGTCTGTATCCTGCTCCCTTGTGTCTATCCCTTTATCTTGCTTCTTTGTGTGGACTGTGATGGTCTGTTGTCTCTGAGACATCATGGCTTTGTTGTATTTAGATCTCTGTTAACTGTTTGTGAAGAGCAGCTAAGGGTGAAGCAGCTCTTCTTGGTGGTTGCTTATCGTAGGCCCATTGGTGGAGAAGGAGGTGGTAACTCTCAGTAAGTGAAGCTGCAGGTGGTGTGGGCATCGTTGTGTTATATGGGGACTGTTGCTGTCTTCCACTCAGTTAGACAAAAATAACACTGAATAACCATAAAAAAAGTAACAGCAAGTGGACAAAAAACACACTGGGTAATTACACAGGAACAGTAACCAAAAAGAGAAAAAGGGAAAAAAAACAAAAAGCAAAACAAAAAACACCACATTATCTGGGGAGAGGGCAATAAGAGAAAAAAGTAGAGCAGGAGAATAAGAAGAAAAAACGGGAAAAACGCAAAAAGTAAAGCAAGGAACAGAATTAAGCACAAGACAGAAAAAAAAAAAATTGTAACCAGGAACAGGGAAAAGAGTAAAAGCTGAAAACTAGAACCTGGGAAGGGAAGAATAAAGAATGATAATAAAAAGGACAATAATAATAATAGTAGTAGTAATTTTAAAACAGTCAAAAACAAATTAAAAAAAGAAAAAAAAAAAAAATCTGGACAGGGTGGCAGGGCACCTAGGCTCTGTCGTAGCACATAGACTGGGATGAAATTCCTGCCAGCCTGGAAGGTGGGTGAGAGTGAAGGATGGCTGCACCTCTGTTAACCAAGAGGAGTGAGATATAAGAGTGACAAGGGTAATGTTGCACCTTTGCATTTGTTCGTGCGTCCGGAATGCTCTTGTGGTTCCCAGCAAGCAGAGCCTGTTCTTAAGTTCCTGGAATCTGGGAGAACACTGTTGCTTTAAATATCTAAAATGATCAAGCCACTTGTAAACATTCAAAATGGCTGCACCCTCCAGACAGGCAAAAATCCACACCTCAGCCTCTGTCCTCTTTGCTGCTTCCCCTTTTATTCCCCAGCCACTAGAGCATTCCTCCATGTAGTCCCTGGCTAGCAGGGCTGGTTTTTAGGTTAATTTTTAGGTCCTACCACCACTTGGCAATATCCAAGCTATCTGTGCAGTCAGGCTCGGTGCCAGACCGCAGCTGTGTATGTCTCCTTTTTTGGTATTTTCATGCAAATTCTTCTGCTAGTTGGAGTTTCTATATCCTTCCTTTCAGAGCTCAGTGTTCCAGGATTATCTTCTGTATCTGTGTTTACTGGTTCCCCTTTTCTTTGTTGAAGAGGGTCTGTGCAGGCTTTCTACCTATTCTGCCATCTTACCAGAACTGCTACGATGGGGTTTTGTGTCTTTGGTTATACGGTACAGGGTTATAGCATATTAGCAATTAACATACCTGACAATGAATAAAAGCAGGCATATTCCTGTTTCTGTATTATTATAATAATAATAATAATAATAATAATAATAATAATAATAATAATAATAATAATAATAATAGCAGCACTGGTAGCATAGTGCCTAAGGCACTTAAGTGCTAACCAGTAGGCTGGCGGTTCAAACCCACCAGCCACTCCTCAGAAGGAAGGTTGGGCAATTTCCTTCCATAGTGATACTGCCTTGAAAACCCAAGGAGGGGTCACTATGAGTAAGATGTGACTTAATGGCACATGACAACAGCATTATTATTATATCCTCATCTGCACTTATACAGCTTTGAATATTATGACCAATTCAGTTGATCCCTTTAACCACTGTGCAGCTAACCAAATCTAGAACTGTCCCTCTTGAGGGAACAATGAGCAAAATGTTTCAAGTGATTTCCAGCTGAAGTTATAGACCTTCTGGAACCTAGGACAAAACAGAGATTGTGTGCTGTTAATAAACTGAGTAGTTTTTTATTTCTAGTTTACTATTGTTAGTAATAGGAAGGAAGGTTGGGCAATCTACTTCCATAATGGTACTGCCTCGGAAACCCAAGGAGGGGTCACTATGAGTCAGGTCTGACTCGATGGCACATCACAACAACAACAATTGTTAGTAAAGAAATCCTGGTAGCACGGTGGTGGTAGCTGCTAACTGAAAAGTTGGCATTTTGAACCCACTAGCTGCTGTGGTGGGAGCTCTGGTAGCATAGTGCCTAAGGCACTTGAGTCCTAACCAGAAGGCTGGCGGTTCAAACCCACCAGCCACTCCTTGGAAGGAAGGTTGGGCAATCTACTTCTGTAGTGATACTGCCTCTGAAACCCAAGGAGTGGAGTTGGATCTGACTTGATGGCAGTAAGTTTGTTTGTTTGTTTGTTTTTTTGGTTAGTTGCTCTGCGTGAGAAAGATGTGGCATTCTGCTTCCTTAAAGATTACATGTTGTTGTTGTTATGTGCCGTTGAGTCGGACCCGACTCATAGCAACCCTCCTTGGGTTTCCGAGGCAGTATCACTACAGAAGTAGATTGCCCAACCTTCCTTCCGAGGAGTGGCTGGTGGGTTTGAACCGCCAGCCTTCTGGTTAGCAGTCAAGTGCCTTAGGCACTATGCCACCAGAGCTCCTAAAGATTACATGCAGGCTTGGAAATGCTATGAAGCAGTTCTACTTAGTCCTGTAGGGGCACTGTGAATTGGCATCAACTCACAGCAACAGCCTTGGCTATTTTTAGTAAAATTTATAACGTATTTTATTTACGTCAGGAGGTCATAATTCCACTTCAAGTGAGAATTGATATCATTGAACTTTCAATAAATGAGTTAGAACTGTTTCTGGTGGCTTTGCCATAATTTTACTGAGTAGTATGAGGATATGTGTTTTCTTGATGTGATGTAATGCTTAATGTAAAAAATGGTATATAATTAATTTCTTTCCCTGAAGGGACATTATATGCAGATTTGTGATATATAAAGTAGTCTTTTTATTTAAAAAAGAGATCAAAATAGGTGCATGCTGAAATTACTAGGTAGAGACAAGGAATGAAGACAAAGTCAACATATTTAATATTAATGCTCATTTATCAACTGTTACTTAGAGTAGTTGAAACAAATTATTTCTGTTCAGATGTTTGAGTTTGTTTTTTAAGTTAATTTAGGAAGACTTCCTGGAGGAAGGGAGATTTGAGTAAAACTTTTAATGGCTACAGTCTTCAAATATTGGAGGTGAAGAGGAATTTCATATAAATAAGGAAAAGGGGGTTTTAGGAGTACTGGAAATAGAGTCCTAGTGATCACAAGGAGTGAAGAAAGTGATTTAGATGTACATGGACCAGTTGGACTTAACTCCTTATTGAAAAGATGAATATAAGGTAAGGAATATGTCTACTCAGTATTTCCAAATATATTAATTCAGACTTTTAGGTTCTGTCATCTTTGTGTATATAGTTAATATCAAGCATACATCATCAATAAACAATTTGAGCAAAAACTCTTAAATCTAATTATGAAATGTAGTCTTTTAGAATAATGAAAATAATTTTGTGAAAACACTATCAGCAGATCAAAGTCGTCTTTGCAAGTAATCCTCTTGCTTTAGGTCTGGCATTTTTTAATAATAGGGGCCTGTTTTCCTGTTGGAACACTTAGTATATTTGGTATTAAGACTTTAGCCTGCTTTTGTTTGCTTTTTTTTTTTCCTTTTCCTGGCAGCTCAGTCAAACCATGAAACAGGTACGTCACCGGCTGGCATCTTTTAAAACTATGAGCAAAAAACAGGCATCAGTGTTTCCAGAGGGTAAAAGGAAAAGTATTCCCACCCAAGAGGTAAATTCATTATTTCTTGTTTTTTTTTTCTTTTTTTCCCTAAATAATATTTTGTTGTGTTTTCAGTGAAGGTTTACATAGCAATTTAGGTTCCTATTCAACAATTTATATGCAAGTTGTTCAGTAACACTGGTTAAATCCTTCATAGAGCATGAACATTCTCATTATTTCTGTTCTGGTTGTTCTATTTCCATTAATCTAGTTTCCCTGCCCCCTTACTTTCTGATTTTTTTTTTTTTAAAGACGCATAATACTTATGGGTGATAGTCATTATTTTTTAAGCCAATTTGTTATTTAGTTACAAAGTAACCTCAGAGGTTCCTTTCAGTTCAAGATTTAAAGAATATCTCAGGAAGTCCTCAAGTCTCAACCAGTCCAGTAGCTCTGGTGTTTTTGGTTTTTTTCTTTCCCAAGGAATTTTTTATTCTATTCCACATTTTTCTCTCATTCTGTCAGTGTCCATCTATTGTGGCCTTGATTAAAATGATTGCTAGTTGTAGCAGGCACCATCTAGTTCTTCTAGTGTCAGGGTAGATGAGACTGTGGTTTGTGTAGACCATTTGTTTTATAGACTAATTTCTTTTTTTGAGTCTTTGCTTTCCTTCTTTCTTTTTTACTCTGGAGAAGTAGAGACCAATACTTGTATCTTAGATGGCCACTTGCAAGCTTTAAGAACCCAGACACTACTTATCAAACTAGGATGTAAAGTATAACTTTATAAACTATATTATGCCATTTGACCAAGATGTCTCATGAGATTATGGTCTTAAACCTTCAAATCCAGAAGTCTACTCCCACAAGGTATTTGGTTATGTCTACAAAGTATCCGTAACTGCTCCCTCTGTGCTTTGTTATGTGTATGTGTATGTATGTATGTATATATATATATATATATATATATATATATATATATATCTGTGTAAATTCTCTCACTGCCACTGAGTTGATTCGACTCATAGCTACCTGTCGAGGTGGCATCTCTATGGAAGCAGATTGCCCAGTCTTCCTTCTGAGGAGTGGCTAGTGGGCTCTTGTGGCGTAGTGCATAAGGCATTTGACTGCTAACCAGAAGGCTGGTGGTTCAAACCCATCAGCCACTCCTCTGAAGGAAGGTTGGGCAACCTACTTCCGTAGAGATACCACCTCGGAAGCTCAAGGAGGGGTCACTATGATGAGTTCAATCAACTCGATGACAGTGAGGTTTTTTTTTTTCAATCTGTATATACATACATGAATACCTATATCGGATTGCTAGGAGTCAAAATCGACATGATAGCAGTGGATTTGTTGTTTTTTTGGTTTATACACATATATGCCTGCAAACATACATATATATCCACACATGTATTTTTTGGTGTTTTTGCTTGCAGTGTAGTAAATTACTTAGTATGGCTTTTCTACCCATAAGTCATTGTAAACTCATTGGTGGAATGAGCAACTGAGGAGCTCCTGATTGTAAATGTTACCCACGTGGAGTATTTCTGTTGGGCATGGCGCAATACAATGTTCTGGGGGGTTCCCACTCTCTCTCAGGTGCTTAGATTTCTGATGCTGTGATTGACTAGTTTGACCACCCTGCCGGGCTCAAAAGGAGGCCTCCTTAGAAGCAGAACTCTGTCTCTCTGACTGCTGGTTGAGGAAGACGTGCTGCCGAAAGAGACACACACCCCTGAAAGAGACACGTGCTACTGGGAAAGAGACACAAGAGACATTGCTGAGTAAGACACTGAGGGACATGCACTGCTGGGGCAGAGACTGTGAGAGACTTGGCTGAGAGACGGTGGCTGGGAGAGAGACTGAGTGTTTTTCCTGAACTTGAATTGTAGCCTGGTGCTTCCCTAATAAACTCCATAATCTGTGAGTTCTGTGTGACCACTGCAGCGAATTATCGAACCCAGGAGAGAGGTGGTGGTGCTTTGGGATGAACGGTTGAAGAAAGGGTTGGAGGGAGGCAGCATGTTTGGCCTTGCAGTAATAGGCCTTGGGTTACTGCTGGTACTCCTGTCTTCCTCTTGTGGGATTAGAGGAGGTCAGAACATGTGGCCTCCATGCCGTTTTTGCACTGCTGTTGGGAAAATTTGTTTTTAATAAGCTTTTAAAAATGCACATATTTATTTATTTCGTAACATAATTTTAATATTAAAATAATTGGAAATAACCTTAAGTATTCAGTAATAGGGAATAGACAAATAAGTAATAATACATCCATATATAGCCGTTCTAAAAAATATGTTTTCAAAGAGTATCTGAAGACAAGGGAGAGTGTCTGTGATATAAAGTTAAGTGATCAAAGTATGATACAAACTATGTGCAGTATGTTCTCAGTGTTGTTAAAAATATATATTTACTCAACAAATATTTATAGAATGTCTACAGTGGCCAGGCTTTTATAGTGAAGAGATATACAGATATCCTCAAAGAGCGTCAATGCTAGTGAGAAGCAGACAAACAAATATATAATATAATTTTAAATGATAGATACTATGAAAAAAAATAAAGCAAAATAAAGAGCAGAGAATTCTATGTACGTACCCAAAAGCCTGAAAAGCAATGGACCAAGAGGTTAATAATGATTATTCTTAGGAAGTATTATTACTAGGGGATTTTTCTTTCCTTTTCTTTCTTTTTAAATTTTCTGTACAGTACATAGTTTAAGGAGCTCTGGTGGTGTAGTGGGTAAGGCATTTGGCTGCTAACCATAAGGTTGTTGGTTTACATCCACCAGTTGCTCTGTGGTAGGAAGATGAGGCAATTTACTTCCATAAAGATTTACAGCGTTAGAAACCCCATAGGCTTCCTTCTGAGTCAGAATTGACTTGATGGCAGTGGATTTTTTTAGTTTGGTACATGTTTCACTTTGTATCACAACAAAAATCAGTAACTATTCTTCTTTAAAAAGAAAACATTCTTTTGGTTCAAAACATAAGATTAGTCTGAGTAGTTGAAATCCAAATGTGACACTAGACATAAGGATATTTAAGACTGTATTGGTAAAATGACTTTGTTTTGGTGCCTATTCATTTTTTTTTTTTTTTGCCTAATTATTTTAGAGTTAAAAAATTTAGACTCATGTTTTACTGTGTTTACTTAATCTTGGCATTATTTTCAAGTTTTTAATAGCGTCTAGTAAAATTTACCAAAAGTCTTTTTTACTTTATTTATTTTTGCCATCCTCAACTCTTTTATTTAGTTCTTTATCACTTCAGCTTCCTAATTGCTATATTCTTTTATATTTTGACACTATGTATCTTATTGTATTTTTTCCATTAACTTCTTAACATAACCATCATAACATTTATCTCTTATGTATTTGTGGTTTGTCAACACTAAACTATAATGCTGCTTCTTCAATGATAATTAGGAAATTTATAAGTAAATTTAAAAAACAAAGGCATGGATATGTGTTTATATATGGCAGCCCATTCTAGATGTATTTGTTATGGTTGTATTTTTCTAGCATTGTCTTGTCATAATCAAGATAGAGTTTCTATTGTGCCTAAATTATTCTCAGCAACTTGATTTTTTGTGAGTTTTCATACCTACTGTGGATTTGGCAGTATTATATAGTTTCAGACATTAGAATGACTTTAGGCACTACAAAAAAAAAAAAAATGCATTGACCCATGTCACTTTAGTTTTGTGTATTTCACTGTACATAAATTATATTTCAATAAAATATATTTTTTAAAAAATAAATGACTTTATGGTATGGTTAGAATATGATGATTGATCACCCTCTAATAAGTCAGGAAAACCAAAAGGTTATTAGGTCTTAGAGAGTGATATTTTATATTGTGTGGAACATACTTAAACCTTTCAGTGATTTTTTTCCAGAAAGAATACTGTTCACAAGTATAACTGAAATAAATATGCAGTAGAAGGCTGGATTAAGTCTGAGATAACATCTTTGTACAAACCAGTGTTATGTATGAATGAGTCTTATACGTCAAAGGTGCCATTTAAGTGCAATTCATTATTGTTGTTGTTTCTATTAATGTGAATTCAGACTGGCTGTGTGCTTCTGAAGAATGCAAGTGTTTTTCAGTTAAACAAATTTCAAAAGCAAATTCACTCTATTAAGTTGAAAATTATCTAAGAAATTTATGAGTTTTTTCTTATCATTCATATCAAGTATATAATTTTTCCCACAAATCTGAACAGTTTTTTACCCTCTCAGTGATGTGAAGTGGGAATCTGCCAGTCAGAAAAGAACAATTTATAACCCAGTTGAACTCTGGTTTCATTTCCTTGTTAGACTTATCTTTAGTGACATTAGATTCTGTCTGTCTGTTGTTTTTGTTCCAGATTTGCAGATACAAATAGAACAAGTCCTTACTTTCCCTCTGTCAGGTTGCCAAGACTAAAATAATGAGTCTTCTAAAATTGTTACTGGCTAGAATATAAGGGCAAGATGTCATTTATAAATTTAATATATTCTCCTACCAGCTTGTTTCCTTTCATATATTTGACATGTGAGTGATTTTTTAATAAGTGTGAAGTAAAACTCCTTTATTCTATATCAGACTACCATTATCTACTAAGAGCATTCCAGCTCTTTTATTACAAACTTAACTTAGTATCATGAAGATGCTGCTCTCTCTAAACCATTTATATTTGTATTGAATTTTTGTCCCCCAGAAAGCACTTTCTAGGACGCCAGCATCCATCAGGATAAATACAGAAACAAAAGAAGAATTTTCTTTGAAGGTCCATCAAGATTTTTCAACGACGATACATTATCAGAATGTTATGCAAAATGAGGTAGGGAAATAAAAGTAAGGAGTAGGAAAATAATAAGTTCTTAGAACTATCCACAGCTAATTAAAGGTAGGATTAAAGTTTAAGATTATGTCTAGTATTTTTTTTAACAGTTTTATTAAAATATAATTCACATGCCATACAATTTACCCATTTAAATTGTACAGTTCAAAGTATTTTAGTACACTCACAGGATTGTACAACCATTACCACAATCTAATTTTAGTACGTTTTTGTCACCCCTAAAAGAAACCACATACCTACTAGTTATTACTCCCTACTCCTTCTGCCTTCAGTCCTAAGCAGCACTAATGTATTTTTCTATTTCTATAGATTTTCCTATTCTGACATTTCATATAAATAGAATCATATAAAATGTGGTATTTTGTGACAGACTTCTTTCATTTAGCAGAAGGTTTTCAAACTTCATCCATTTTGTAACATAGTCCTTTTTATTGACAGATAATGTTTCATTATAGGATATACCTCATTTTATTTATCCATTCATCCATCAGTTAATGGTTAGTTGAATGTTTCACTTTTGGCTATTAGGAATAATTGTGCTGATGGAAACATTTGTATACAAGTTTTTGTGTGGACATGTTTTCATTTCTTTAGAGTAGATACTTTCTTAGTTATCTAGTGCTGCTATAATAGGAATACCACAAGTGGGCAGCTTTAACTGGCAGAAATTTATTTTCTCACAATTAGGCTAGAAGTTTGAATTCAGGGCATTAGCTTTAGAGGAAGACTTTTTCTCTCTTTTGGCTCTGGAGAAAGATTCTTGTTCTTTGGTTCCTTAGTAAACTTCACGTGGCTAGGCCAGTAGTCAAGAAATCAGATGATGTATTGTATTGGGAAAATCTGCTGCAAAAGACCTGTTTAAAGTGCTGAAGAGCAAAGATGTCTCTTTGAAAACTAAGGTGCACCTAACCCAAGCCATGATATTTTCAATAGCCTCATATGCATGTGAAAGCTAAACAATGAGTAAGGAAGACGGAAGAAGATTTGATGCTTTTGAGTGGTGTTGGTGAAGAATACTGAAAGCACCATGGACTGCCGGAAGAACAAACAAATCTGTCCTGGAGGAAGTGCAGCCAGAATGCTCCTTGGAAGCAAGAATGGTCAGACTGCGTCTCACCTACTTTGGTCATGTTGTTAGAAGGAACCATTCTCTGGAGAAAGGATATCATGCTTGGTAAAGTGGAGGGTCAGTGAAAAAGGGGAAGACCCTCAACGAGATGGATTGACACAGGGCTTCAATGATAGGCTCAGGTATAGCAAGGATTGTGAGGCTGGTGCAGGACCAGGCAGTATTTCTTTCTGTTGACACAGAGTCACTATGAGTCAGAGGCAACATGATGGCACCTAACAACAGCAACGACAATCTCTCCTTGTGCTTCTCTATGCCTAATTTGCTTTTTTATATCTCAACAGAGATTGATTTAAGACACATTGTACACTAATACTGTCTAAGTATCATAACAAAGAAAACCCGTTTCCAAAGGGGATTATAACCACAGGTATAAAAACTGCCATGGAGTCTGTTCCGACTCATAGTGACCCCTCCTTGGGTTTCCAAGGCAATATCTCTATGGAAATAGATTGCCCAGTCTTCTTTCTGAGGGGTAGTTGGTGGGTTTGAACTGTCAGCCTTCTGGTTAGCAGTCATATGCTTAGGCATTAGGCCACCAGAGTTCCTAACCACAGGTATAGGGATTAGAATTCACAAAACATACTTTTGGGAGATACAGTTCAATTCATAACAGATGTATAGGAGTGGAATTGCTAGGTCATATGATAACTCTGTTTAACATTTTGAGGAACTGCCAAACTGTTTTCCATCAGCAGTGTATGAGGATTCCAGTTTCTCCATATCCTCACCAACACTTGTTATTGTCTATCTTTTTGATTATAGCCATCCTCTTGGGTGTGAAATGGTATCGCATTTCCTTTTTTTCTTCCTCATTGTGGTGAAAGTATGTATACACACCAAAACATTCACCAATACCATAGTGTCCATATTTACAATTAAATTACATTGATTACATTTTTCATGTTATGACACTATTATTGTTATTCTTTTTCAAAGTATTCTACCACCACTGACATAAATTTAATACCTCCCAAACAAAAAACTCCCCCTTTCTTCCTTCCTCTAGTCCAGTAACCTTTAATAATCTTTGGTTTCTATATATTTGTGTATTTCGTATATGTGAGATCATATAGTATTTATCCTTTTGCAGCTGACTTATTTTGCTCAGCATAATGTTTTCAAGGTTTATCCATGTTGTTGCATGCATCAGAACATCATTTCTCTTTATGACTGTGTAATATTCCATTGTATGGATATACTGCATTTTGTTTATCCATTTATCTGTTGATGGACATTTTGGTTTTTTCTACCTTTTAGCTATTGTGAACAGGGCTGCACTGAACATTGGTGTACAGGATTCTGTTTGCAATCCTGTTTTTGCTTCTTCTAACTCTATACTTGGGATTGAGATTGGATCATATGGTAATTCTGTGTTCAACTTTTTGAGGAATATTGGCTGTACCATTTACATTCCCACCAGCCGTGGATGAGGGTACTACTTTCTCTAGTACCTTGCCAGTACTTGCTGTTTTCCATTTACTATTATTATTATTATTATTACTGCTATTGTAATGGGGGTAAGATAATACATCATTGTGGTTTTGATTTGCAGCTCTGTAAGGAGCTTTGGTGGCGCCATGGTAAGGCATTCAGCTGCTAACCAGAATGTCGGCTGTTTGAACCCACCAGCTGCTCTGTAGGAGAAAGATGAGGCAGTCTACTTCCATAAAGATTTACAGCCTTGGAAATCTTATGGGAGTTGCTGTGAGTTAGAATCAACTCAGTGGCAGTGGGTTTGCTTTTTTGGAATGGCTAATGATGTTGAGGGAGCTCTGGTAGCATAGTGCCTAAGGCGCTTGACTGCTAACCAGAAGGCTGGCGATTCAAACCCACCAGCCACTTCTTGGAAGGAACATGGGGCAATCTACTTCCGTAGTGATACTGCCTCGGAAACCCAAGGAGGGGTCGCTATGAGTCGGGTCCGACTCGACGGCAAATAACAACAACAGTGATGTTGAATGTATTTTCATGTGTTTGTTGGTTGTTTGAATATCCTCTTTGGTGAAGGTTTGTTCAAGTCCTTTGCCCATTTTTGATTGGGTTTGTCTTTTTGTTGTTAAGTGGTAGAGGTTTTATATATATTTGAGTATGTACATTTGAATATTTTATGTTTAATGTTACATTTAATGTTTTAGATGAAAGTTCACATAGCAAATTAGGGTCCCACTTACAATTTTTATACAAATTGTTCCTGACATTGGTTACAATTTTCATAATGTGTCAGCATTCTCATTATTACTATTCTGTTAGTTTTGTTTTCATTTATCTAGCTTCCTTTCTTTTCCTTGCCTTCTCATCTTTGCTTTTGGGTAAATGTTGACTATTTGGTCTCATATAGAGAAGTTTCCTATATATTTTGGATATTAAACATTTATCTGATACATGGTTCCCAAAAGTTCTCTCCCAGTCTGTAGGTTATCTTTTCACTTTGTTGATAAAATCCTTTGATTTACAAAAGTAATTTTTATAAGGTTCCCTTTATCTATTTTGTGCTTTGCTGCTCAAATTTTTATTGTTATAACAGATCATTTATTAAACACTAGGTCCCACAACCTCACCTTTACATTTTCTTCTAAGGATTTTATGGTTTTAGTTTTCACATATACGTCCTTGATTTATCTTGAATTTTTTATGTGTGTCTGTATGTGTAAGGCATAAATCTTAATTTTTCTGCATGTGGATCTCATTTACTTTTTTTTTTTTTTTTG